CCAACCTAGAAAATCTATGAAATCTATAAAGGGGCATTTAAGCACAAGAGCATGGAGTCCTTTCAGCAACAAAGCAAAACAGCACGAAGACATGCTCAGCAGTTTCAGGTGATTTAACTGACCCAAGCCTGGAGTATTCCTTATTCCCTCTAATGGAAGAATTTCATTCATAATACCTTCAGAAACAGGCTTCAGCTGTGGTGGCACTACATTGCTGGTTGCTGAGGAATCTGCCCAAGAATCCCATCCACCTAAGAGATCTGGCTGGCTTGTAGAAGATGGTATTTTAGGTGGTGCCAAAGATCCTATAGAAGAAAAAATTTCTATTACTCTGTTAGTAAAGCCATCTCAATAATGAATATTTTGCCAATATCAAGAGAACTGTGTACCACATTTGTGAGCTACAATGGCCAACTACATGGCTTGGTTAAATTTCGCCACAACAGTCATGCAGTCTTAAACAGAACTCAAGGGTTTACCACTGGAATTCCTTATTTTTATTTGAAACATATTTTCATGCACAGGCAATGCTATGAATTTAACAGGTTAGGTCTCCTGGGAAAAGGACTAGATAAGGGACAGCTTCAGGATATGCTTCTGTTCCTGACAACACAGCAGGTAACTAGAAAGCAGCAGCACTTCATGAAATGGTGCTCCATATTGCTCTGTGGTCTGGGTGCTACACAGGTGGAGCCAGGCCACTTCAAACTGCAGGTTTGCCTACCTCAGGCCTCATGTGACTAAGGGAACTAATAGCCCTTTTCAGTTCAATACATGAATGAATCCATGCAATTAAAGAGCAGGATACAGCAAGTGTGATCTCTTCTGGGAGAAGACTGAGAATCACTGGCTCCATGGATAAAAGCTGCTTTTCTATGTGCAAAGCAAAACCACCATGCCAATTGAAAACAGACAATGAAACAGTCACATTCAAAAGGATGCAAGGGGTGCTTCCACCAACTCTGAAGTGTCACATCCAACAGGTTTGTAACTGCCATCCCTGACACTTGCAAACGATTCTCCCCTCTCACATGGTATGAGCTGAGCCATCCTAAGAATGAGAAGTCCTAGGTAAGGAACACTCAAAGCTGCATGCCAGCTCTGAGAATTCCCTTTGAGCACAGCTTGTAGATACTCACAGTAAAGCAGGACAGCTTTTGAATGTGACCACCCCTTCAATGCTATGACAACAGTCCGTGCTACCGGGAGAGGTGAAACCGTTATGTTTAGTGGTGCTCTAAGACATTTCAAAGACCTAGAGCCTGGAAAGCTAACCCAGCCATCCTTACAAAAATAATGACATTTTGATGGTTTGGATGTTTTGACCACTACATCACAGCTTTTCACTTCTCTCAGCTTTACATTCTGAATATTGATACCAAATCACACAAACTATTTTATCTTATTTGAGGAAATAATTTGAAGCAAAGTAAATATCTCCTCTATCATCACAATACATTAATTGTATTTGTACTTGGATCTTAAAGAGACTATATCAAATACTCTACAACAAATGTCAGTCAAGAGCCTGTATTACAGCAGAGTTCTCTGCTGTATGTGAAGGAAAACACCAGAATAAAACACATGAAGTAGCCAAAGTCTTCTGAACATAGAGTACAATTTTCATCCCTTTCTCCAGACTTAAGCCTCATCTCCCTGCCTCTGAAGTCACAGGAGAAACAGTATTTGCCCCAGTACTCAGGACACCAGCTATCTGCTACATGCAGCAGTGTCACTGGCTATAAATGTCAAAGTGTCCAAAAGTGTCTACACATCAGTCTAGAAATTCACTGTACCATATGCCACTCCCAAACGTTAAGTGGGCCGTGAATAAATATTAGTATTGATTTTTGAGCTAGAAATAGTTTTGGCTTTCATCTCTGCTATTACAAGTTTTTTTACAGGGGCATGAGGAAATTTAAAGCCACTTATGGCATTAACTATGATAAAACCAAGTTGAGAGAAATAAGATTAAAGTATACTACAGCTGAATGCATTTGAAAGATTGAGAACACACTATGGGAACCAGGTGTTTTATAACTGCTGGTTTAAGAGCAGGCAAGTTCATCATCTCCCCCATCCTGAACAAAGCCAACAGCAGGCTACTGTTACATAAAGCAGTAAATACGCCACAAATAACAAGCTCACATATATCCACTACACTTTTATCAGAAAGATTTGAAACAATGGAGAAGGACATGCAATACACTGAAAAATAAGATTAACCACTTACTGGGACTGTTTATTCTTATGCTATATTCTTTCTAGTTACATAACTTGGGCATTACAATAGATTTTCACATTATGAAATAGCATTACCAACATGATATTCTGAATTCTATGTATTCTGAAGAGGTACGAGAACACATGCTGAATCCCTTATTTGTATAACCTAGCACACTAGATTTTAGACAGATTAAGGTAAAGGAGCAGAACATCTAAAGAATGATTAAAACATGAAGCATAGCTAAATATTCCAAAAATTGAAGCAACTGAGATCATGAGCAACCAGATCCACACCTGCTTAAGTTCTTCCTTAATGCACGTATTTATAATCCTTAGCCATACAGCAGTAAACCAGTGGAGGTCAGGGCATAGTTTTTTGCCAACACTGCTCAAATCAAGCTAAGATGTAATAATTAGTCAGTGATAATCAGATCACACTTTCCAGCTTCCTAAAATAAAGAGATTTCCGTTCTACTATATCCCACACAACTTGACATTAGGTTTTCTTTATTTAACTCGTTATCTCTGCAGGAAATCCTTTAATCACAGAGGACAACAGGATTTTCTGCGAACAAAGAGTCTGGTTTAGTACAATGCAAGGCTTTTTAACCTTGTCTAAAGCCTAACTGAGAATACAACTGTCACAGAAACTAACTTCGACTTTTCTTCTGTACTTGCTTCAATGTTACTAACTGCTGAACGTTTATGGTGGTCTCCTGAGGCTGCAGGTAAACATCCAGAGACAGAAACTTGTATTTATGTATTTTTCCAACTTAAATTTAGTACATAAAAGGGTTCTCTCGTAGGGAATGGAGCACCTCTGATACAAGGACAGGCCAAGGGTGTTGGTATTGTTTAGCCCACAGAAGAGAAGAACTAAGGGTGGGCAATCTTAATGTGTATGAACATTTAATGGCAAGAAACAAAGACAACTGAGCCAGACTCTTCCTAGTGCTGCCCAGTGGAAAGACAAGAGGCAACAGGCATAAACTGAAACACAAGAAACTCCATTTACACAAGTTTTTTTTATGAGAGTAGTCAAACACTGGCACAGGTTGTCCATAGGTGTTGTAGAGTCTACATCCTCAGAAATAATAAAAATCAGCAAGCCTGTGTCCTGAGCAGACAGATCTACTTGACCCTGCTCTGAGGGGTCTCAGAGGGTCAGTCTCCTCTGAAGCAAGATAAATGTTGGTTGAGATGATGCTCCATAGATCAGTATTAATCAAGTCTTCTACTGAAAAAAATTACCATCTGTTTGATAACCTCATGCAGTGACAACAATAGTATCATAAGTAAAATTGGCATAAAACTGGCAACTATACAAGTATACAACTAAAACATACAGCTGTTACTGCATGTGTAGGATAGAACAAAAATGTTGCAAAGGAAGCAGCAAGTTAAGATCTTCTCAGCAGACTCAAGCACATTTGGAATATAATGCTTAAATACATGGTGGAGAGGGCAATCAGCTGGCTAGCCTTTTATTTCAAGGAGGAAACCCTCATCTCAGCCAGGCAAGTGCTGCATCTCACTATCCACTTTCTCTGTAGCTAACACTCAGACTGCATCACCCAGAGGCAGGGTCAACTAGACCGACTGTCCAACAAGGAGAGGCAACTTAAAACCACATGCAACAAGCTCTGGGAAGAAAACACTCCTGGATTCAGGGTGAGGAATGTGATACCACTGTTCCTAACTACCTCTGATTTATAAGGGGGTGCCTGCAGGGGTGGCCTCTGTGAGGAGTGGCCTGGGCTGCTCCATGTGGGACACAGCCAGCTTCAACAGACCCATCGCAGGATACAGCTGAGCCTCTCAGCCAAGACAGTGGCACCTCAGGGAGAAAAGAAAGGGTAAAAAACACTGCACAGCAGCTCTAAGAGGAGCAGGAAATACAAGAGAAACAGCTCTGCAGACATCAAGGTCAGTGGAGAGGGAGGAGATAACTCCAGGTGCCAGAGCAGAGATTTCACTGCAGCCCATAGAGAAGGCCATAGTGGAGCAAATATCCACACTGCAGCCCACGGAGGATGCCACGTAGGTGGGCATGCCCTGGATGACACTGTAGCCTGTGGAGAGAAGCCCACACAGCAGCAGGCTCTTGGCAGGAGCTGTAGCCTCTGGAGGACCCATGCTGGAGCACTCTGTTTCTGAAGAACTGCACCTTACAGAGATCAACATTCTTGGAAGACTGTATCCCATAGGAAGGACCCACGCAGAAGCAGGGTAACAGCACAAGGAGGAAAGAGCAGCAGAGAAAGAGCTGTTACAGACTGATCGCAACTCCCAGTCCTACAGGGAGGATCCATGCTTTTCTTTGAAACTCAGATTTACAAAGCAACACTTTTGGCTCTACCACTCCTCAATTTTTGCAAGGATGTGTTTCTCTTAAAGAATGAGTATGCTTAGAAGATCTATTTAATACCACTTTGGAAAAAACATGCTTAGGATGGAGATACGGGCAGACTGCACATAAAGCTTTTTGTTTAAAGATAAATAGATTTTAAAATAAATGCATGAGGAAAGGGCTTCACCAAGAACACATCAGAGAAATTAAATAAATGAATAAGATTAGAGTATTACATAACATACTCCATAAGTACATTACCAGAATGCATTTAGGTCAACAAGGTCCAAGCTAGCCTCAGCTTGCATTTTAAGAACTGGCTGTACTATAACTTGACTTGCTCATTTCTTTCCCAAGGCTTCTAGAAACATCTTTAAAAGCTCAATACAATCAAAACAGCATTCTGTCATCTAGAAAGTAAGTTTGCAGGTGTTTGTGTACCCTCAGTTCTAAGAGCTCTCAGAGGAAACTCCAGCTCCTAACAGAATGTTAGCAACGCTAGAAATCCTCTCACATCACAAAGATTAGCATGACATTATACATACACCCTTGCGACTTGGTGCATTCATATCAGTGTTCCCAGAACAGAGATATAATAAAAACAGCAATCAGAACAAGTGGATCTATTAAGACACTAATCCACCTTGACTAAGTTGAAAGGCAAACGCACAGAGCAGCAGAAACTGTTGAGAAAGAACACCAGAAGCACACTTACCCAAATTTAAGAAATCTGAGCTGGAAGAAGCTGGAAGTGAACTGTGTGTGGAATTGAAAGGAACCATACTAGGTGTAGATGTTGATCTTGGATTAAAAAAGTCCCCAAAGAGGTCTGTATCAGACAGAGCTTGATTCTCTGAACATTGTGGCATGATGAATGTATCAAAATTATTAGCTAAAAAAGAAGCAGAAAATAAAACTATCTTACAACAAATTTTAGAACAAAGTTGAAAAAGCCTTTCTCCTCTGGGAGCACAGACAAAAAGTAGAGTTCATGTTGGTAACCGCAGCAGCCTTCTGAGAATATTTCACAGCAAAGAGTCACCATCTGTCCCTTCCTTTAGACATCTGTACTTTCACATTGGTACAAAAAAGTATTTCAGCCATACACAACATGAATAGCTATGTCTTCAAGCACAAATACTGCATGCATTCAATAACATTGTTAATTTCATCCACATAAGACCCACCTTAAACATGAGTGACCATCTGCATACAAACAGAAAAATCACATTTGCTAAATGCTCTAAAATGCAAACTTCTAAAGAACTTAAACAAAACACACTATTAAACTACTAAAAAGAATATCAAGTAAAACATTCATACTACCACTTTGACTTGAAGGCATTGGTGCCTCTGGGCAGAAAACACGTCAACTCAATAATGAGAACCAACAGAAGCCAGGCTTTCAACAGGTCTCTAGTGATCACAATGAAGGAAAAACTAATTGGACCAGTATTTATAGTCAGCACAGGGTAACATGTGACAGCCAGCTGGAATAACAGCTTGAGATCTTCCCGTTTCTGCTGCCCTCTAGAGTCAAATCCTCAAGAGCCCAGAGACTCCTGCCAGGTTTACTCAGAAGGAATAATCCTGCCATAGCACCTTAACACATCCTGAGGTGACCACATCGTAAAGGACTCAGTAACACTTCAAAAACAAACCCCGGCTTGTCATCAAGTTAACTTACTATAGCATCTCACACACACAAAACTTCACATACAAGTTTGACATGCAAACTGAAACACAAATGGCCAAATATTTTCACTTCTGCAATTATCTTTCACTTATCTAATTCACAGGTAGAATGAGATACATACATGACTACTGCCTAGGTGTTTTACAGAGTAGATATAAGAAAGGCATAGTTAAAGATAAGGTAACAAAGCTTCTTTGTTTTGATAAGGTAACTTCTACTTATGTAAAAAAGTTAAATTAAGTGAGTCTGCATTGGCCATAGTAACAAAGTTCAATATCGAATTGTTTCAAAAGACGGTAGTATTTGAAATAATGTAAATGCTCTACAAAACCACTTGGCAGCTGCATGTAGATTAAAGCTTTTAGTCCAAGTGAATTACCTTTGTGCAAATAAGCTAAACCTTCTAGCAGTTTCCTACATTATCCACCTAACATTCCCAAAAATCTTCATGTAACTTCAGGCACAGAATTGCTATTCCCAAAAGTTTAGTCATGTGACAGAGCTAACTATCCACTGGTAAGAGGAACAGAACCTCTAAATTAAAACACCTTAATTTAAATGCCACATAGATAGCAGTGTGTAACATTCTCTTTCAGGATACAGGCCTGTCAACATCACCAGTAAAACCAGCAAGGAAACACCTTTCAGCAGTATCATTATTCTACCAGTTTGAACACTAATCTACAAGATTTCCAGTGGCCTAGCATTCTTATGCGATTAAGATCCAAAATTCCCACAGACATCTGACCTAAGCAGCACAGCTCTGTACCATATCTAATGCTATTGCTTTACGTAAAGTGCAAGAAAGCACTTACTACAACTCTACGCCTTAGCAAGAGAAGTTACTTACACATGGATTTAGAAAAGGATCCAGCATGTTAGATTGGCAACAAAATACCTGGATAACATACAGCAACTTGTCTCCTTCATCCCATAAAAACACCTGTTCTCTGCAGATTCTTGCTACAGACCAACATGTCTTCAGTGTACAGATCAAAATGTGGTACTCACTTTCTAACCACAAAGCAAGCAGCAGCTTTTATCTGTTCGCCAGCTGAAGAATACCGATTATTAATTTTACATACCTGAAGGCGTGACTGCTGCTGAAGATGCATCCTGAGTAGCAGATGAACTCTGACAGCTGGAAAAGAAGTCTGTCCCTTGGGCAAGAAGGTCCCCAGTGGGCTTTTCTGAAATCCGTGATGTGACACCCATAAGCAGATGGTTTAACAAGTCTGCATTACTTAAAGAGTTTATTTCTGAGACAGGTTGTGTCTGTTCTGGTGAAACATCACAGTCTAGTCCCAGTAAGTCTACACTTTCATCAGGAAGAGATTTTTTTAATGGTGCAGATGGAGCTTCAGAACTGGCTTCAAAAAGCAACTCTCCTCCCAGAGTAGTAGTGTCTTTTTCAATAATTACTGCACTTTTTTCACCTTGAAACATACAGAATTCCTCATTTGAAGGACTGCTCTCTTCCCTGTCATCAGATAGTTGAACACGATCACTTTTAGATGATCTGTCCTCTATTCCACTTTCTGGACTTTTTCCTTCTTGAATAAAAAGAAATAACAGCTTTAGATTAACAAGATTCTTCTGCTAACCAAGATAAGACAGACTTATATGGTGAGATGATATGAAATCGATCCTTAATCAAAGCTCACAAAAGAACTGATTAAAAAAGAATTAACTGTTGCCTACCTACCATCTCTTTGTACAACATAGGTAAAGGGGCAACTCACTACCATACTTGCCACTCTGCAAGGGCAGGTATTACGAATTTTTTCAAAATGAGACTGACTTGGACATTCACCTCAAGACATCATATCACTTGTGGCTTAGAAGATTGCTCAGTAACTGCTGCTGCACTCAGTGATAGCATTCAATGACAGCATAAGCAGTTACTGTCATTTTTGCCAACAAAGCAGAACCCAGAAAATGGACTTAAACATGCACTATAAAATTACATCTTCTCGGTCCATACATACTGATCTGGACCCCACTGGTTAGTCTACTTTGTTTCCTCTGTTCCTCAGACAGCCTAAGTGAGGCTGTGCAAATGCAAAGGCTTCCTTGCAGACGTTTAAGGTTAAGATTTTTGCAGAAAAAAAGAAAAAAGTTCAGCATTTAAGTCACATCATTACTAAAAAAACATTACTTGGTGTTTATCCAAATGAAGCAGAATGACCACTTGTTAGCCTGTGGAGCTCACGCTTTAAAATAGCTTTTTCCCCTGGTCTGGTGAAATAGCGACTTTTGCTCCATAAGAAGGCTTAAGCACTCATTGGAAAGTGTACAATATACAACAAATAGTTACTTCAGAGGAAAATTTGTACCTTTCCAGTCCAGAGAACTAAAGAAATTATTTGCATCAGTACTACTGCTGTGTGAGGATTCTGTCTCAGTGGGTGCACTTTCTGAAGACTGCTCCAGTTGCGATGCTTCTGCTTCATATTGTGCAGTTGAACCTGGTTGTCTAGGCAGCTCTGGTTTCCCTAAAAGACAGATTTTAAGCCAGGAGCCTTAGAAATTTATAAAACTCAACCCTGGTCATAGCAGCTGGTATTTGACTTGCAGACTGACTGCTACAGCAAGACAACTCTCTATTACTCTGCAAAGGCAAATGCTGACCCCCCCCACCGCCCATTTGGAATTAACATTAACTTTGTTTCAACTGCAAAAGCTGGTAAGACCCTATTTTCAACTGTAACATTAAATCAGACTCATAGCAAAACACTCAAGCATTCTATTTACATTTGTATGAAAATGTAATTAACACCTCACTTGTACCAACTATCCCTAAAATATGCAATAGTCAAACAAAAACTGCAATAAGGAATAGAACATCAGAAAAGAGCAAGTGCAGCTATAGATAAAAAACAGAGTATAAAGAAAGAAGAACATGGAGGAGTTAAAACATCTCAAAGGAGTTAAATAATACACTGCATGCTGTGATTAACTACTCCTTATGTTTCTTATTTTACTGAGCTCAGATATTAAGTATATTAAGTGACTCTTGTGTAAGACTGAATTGGGCTGAGTTACCTACTACTGTATCATCTCCCAAAAAGGAGGTTTCCTCAAGGCAAATAAGATGACCCCCTAAATTAGTAAGCGTTCATCCACTGTTTGAAAACAATGGGATGAATGGTTAGAAGAAAGCTATTTGTCTAAATCTAAATACCAAACTGGTAGAGCACTTTCATCCTATTTTCACATACTCTGTTGTAGCTCAGGGATGCTGAAAAAAAATAGTCTGTCTCAAAACATACCTGAAAGATCATGATTAATAAAACAGTGGAAATTAAACTTTAATAAGGTGAGTTTTATAAAACCAGTTCACAGCACTTGCTCTTGTATTATTCCCTTCCCATTAATTTTAAGAAATATTTTCAATGGAATTTGACAGCCTTACATTTCATTTATGAATCAAAAAACGAAAGCGAAGTAAGAGTAGCTTTTACAGTTCATTATCAATGAAACAACTTCAGTGAGCTGAGACTTGTGTTCACAGATTTTTTAAATCTATATGAACTAAGTTAAAGAGAAAACTACCTAAATCATAGTACAAACCAAACATATCCTGCTAAAAAAAGATAATACAGCAGCAGCTACCTTGTATCAAACCAAATGTAATTAAGATGTACCATAATAAGAGTAAAGAGTAAGATCACATGTATGGTGTACTAAAATCACCACAATAATCTCCATCGTGCTTTTTAACCTTGAAGTACAGAGAAGGCTTAAGAGCCTTAGCGAAAATGTCAAAACTAATTACTGATACCAGAAGATACTGAACAGCATTAACTGGAATTAATGCAAGCATCTACAGATGAAGCACAGAATACATAGTATTAAAAAAATTTAAAACATCTGCTGGACCACATTAAGAAAAGCTGAGAAACTGAATTACAACATTACTTGGCTACACATAAGAAGGACCTCAATAAAAACATTAAGACCATTTAGGTCTTAATAAATAATAAATAATAAAAACATTAAGACCATTAAGGAACGCTCGGATGATTTTAAGCAAAATAATGGTGCCAGTTTAGCCAAATACAGTCCTCACAAGACATTTTGCCTACAAATCCTGGCTGTCAATCCCATTTGCTAAAATCCCTGCAAATAGCATATTCATAGCTTTAAAGCAAGAAAATATAATGACAGTAGAGGTAAGACAAGGACAATTATAATCTGGCATTGGAGGATAATTTATACTCCTTCATATAATGCAAATTTTTAATCGATATTTACAAAAAACCACCTTTTAATTCCCTTCACTTAAAGGAATGTCACAAATGAAACAAAGGCCTCAAACACTAAATACATTAGAAATCTATCATTCTCTAGTTTTCCAAGAGATTCATTACCAAATTTTGATAAAATCTCTTGTTGTTCCTCTCGGGTGGAGAAAAGGATCTTGGGATTCAGTCCCTTTATATTCATGTTATCCCACGGTGGCTGTTCACAGCTAGGTCTATCTCTGGGATCCACCTCTACTTCCAGATTGACTTGAAATAAATCAGGATATTTTTCTTGTATGTCACAGGCATCCAGATCATACCTGCAAAGATGCATACATGTAGATTCTTGATACTGATGGCTGACTAGATTAAATTCACTGCAGTCCAAGACAGACTTTAAAGCAATTAGTATAAGGCTTAAAACCTTAAAAAATTATTTGTTTACTTTTCCATATATTTCAAACAGGTGGTATTTCGGTACAAAAATTTCTGTATCGTGAACAAAACCTTCAGTTTCCTTGAGGTGGGAAAATGAAAGCATCTTCTTATTGCAATTGAAGTCATCTACTTCCTACACTGACTATATTTCCTCCCCCCACCATGTTGGTTTGGCAGGTTAAATAGCTTCAAAAAGAAAGCTTCTTCCAGTCTGCTACAAAAGGGTGTCAACATACTTGGCAAATTTCACTGTGGTTGCATTTTGGGGCACAAAACCTGTGTGGAATTGAATCTGAAACATCTTCATTGAAGTCATCTGTTGAAAACAAGAAGAGAAGGAAACTGCATAATTCCACATGAACAGTATGCGGTGTTTTGCCTTTAATATAATGTAAAGTATTTTCAGAATTAAAATATTTTCAAGTTATGCTAGCATTTCAGTTTGATTCCATGTATACTTTATCTTTAGATATTAAATGAAGTTTAAGACAGAAGATAGACAAACCTATTTTACTACCAGAAACCAAGCAGAAGAACATGAATCAGATAACTCTCATCACTAACCTCAAACAGATTATCAAAGTCTGCTAAATGTTTCCAGATCCTGTTCTGGAGGCTGAAACTCCATGACCCTTATTACTTTTCTGAATGACATACACTCAGAAAAAACTCGTGCAATACACTAAGCAAGAAATACATGTCATACACAAAGGAGTCCCTCCAGAACAGTTTTAAATGTACACATTTAAATGTAGCATATTTAAAATGATGCTTTGAAGACATGAAAAAAGTTTTTTCCTGAGCAACTTCTCAAGTCAACCATTTGTCCCAGACAGAATTAGAGGGCTTTTCCAAACTCACTCATTATAACCATTCATCCTTCCCAACTCTTTCTTCTGCTGACAGAAAAACTAGTTTTCCATGCCTGAATAGCATGAGAGAATCCAGAAAATGCTACTGTAGAAGATTCATGTAGCTCCTGGTCTTGCACAAACCCAAATGACAGCAAACTGATAAATCCACAATGTATTTGTTCCCTGGGTTTAGTTACAACACACATGGAATATTCTTGCCAGTCCTCACAAAGCAAGTCATACAGTAATAGTCCACTAAACACGATATGGTAAAATCAAATTACAAAAGCTTTTCTTGTAAATGACCATGTAATGAACATCATAGCCAGAAGTCAAGCAACAGGCAAAGCATTGCCAGTAGCCTGCAGGAGGTGATGTGTCAGGCTCCTCAGCACAAGACAGACATGGACATACTGGAGAGTTTCTCCCATCTGTTCATCTGTACCCTGAACTATATTTGAAAACATAAACATCTTTTAAATCAGTTTTCCTAATCTCTTGCTATGCAAGATATTTCCTAGAAGATAAAGTAAATCCTCTCTCATGTTAACTGTGAGTGGGAGCCATTCACAATACCCAGCTCTAGGCACTTAACAGCAATATGGAAATGTAGTGGCCAATCTCCCCAAGAGCACTGCAGAGAGCTTCAGTGGGAAATTCAGAGTATGTAAAACTAAGGACACATTGAATAACATTCCATCAAAGCTCCAAACCAGAATCCTCACAAATACTGTTGATGTATCATGTGTTATAGCACACGGATGAGAAAATTCTAGTATTTTCCAATTAGTGAGTAAGTGTCAAAGAATCCACGCCAAAGAAATCCTACCATCAGTGAAACTGAGATTGCACAAGGACTATAAGCTAACCTGGGCTGAATTTTCCCTAGTTGTATGCCTTTTTCACTGATGACCTTAAACCATACACTTATTTTTGTGCAGAGAATCATTTCTCTGAGCTTTCATTTTTAGGTTGCTCTGGAAAAACTGACCTATAGCACTCTAGGGACAGTAAGGAAGTCTTGAAACTCTGCAACACATCGAGATTTGATATACACCTTCCTACACACAAAGTGGAAAACCACAAGAAAACCATGCATTTCAGTGATACAAGATACATATGAATATGCTCGTTTGCCCCAAATGTATGGAAACTGACGAACCTCTGGATCAATTCTCGCAATGCTCCAGGTTATCTTAAACTTTGCATGATCCCTTCCTATCTCTTGCATGGATCTCCAGGTTTAATTTGGGTTACTCATGTGGAGAAAAACACATGCTTTTTTAGAAATTCAAAGATAGTCTTCATTAGCAAGTTTTTTGTGATCTTGATATGTTTGCATCCATATTTGCATTAAAAAAGGAAACATACATTCTCCCTAGGAGAACAAAGACCAGTAAGGAAACTGGCTAGAAAAAACTCAACCTGGCTCTAGAAATAGGGTACACAGCCACATTGATTTTTCTAGCCTGTTTTGTTTTGTACAGGCAGTCCCTGGAATTTCACTTTTCTATTGAGTGACGTTTTTCCTTTGGTTGCAGTTTGCGTGTACAGAATTAAAAAGATCTGGCTTGTTGTGCAACTTTAATAATCACTGCCCCAAAAAAACGGCTAGAGTCTTTCCATGTAAATATAATGCCCTTACTACTGAAGTGATTTCCAAAAATACCAAAACATCTACATGCAGAGGACTAAGAATGGACACAATAGGCTTGAAAAGGCTGAATTCCCAAGTACGTGAAAACCTCACACACTTCTTTGAACAAATAATAGCAAATAAAGCCATGTACTTAATGATATCACAAATATAAGTATGACACAAAACTGCAACAAGGAAAAGCAAGTCTTCCATGTAAATTTATCATTACCTTGGCTTGTAGTCGGCCTCCTAGTGTTGACCTGGCATGATAGATCACAATGAGAACATCTCCCTGGACTGTTATACCTAGTGGAATTACTGCTCTCTCATCTTCAATTTTAAACTCCCTGAAGATAAAACATAACTGCAGTTAACTTCATTTGAAAAAAAAATAGCATACTACCTTATGTTTACTTTGGTTTCTCCAAGGCCTTCAGTATCAACCCATACAAATCTGCTCCAAGTTCTTGTTATGGAGAAGGAATTAGCTCTAAATGATGAAAACTTAAAAGCTGCTCTAAAAATAACAAGATTAACAGTTGCCTACAGCAGAGTAACAGACATAGACCCATAGCTCTCAAATCAAATGCGGGAGAAACATGTCTTCAAGGAGCTGCTGGGAAACGCAAGAGACAGGATATTACAAAGAAAACTGTTCCAAAGAAAGGTGCAGAGAGAAACTGTAGCTGCCCTGCTGTGGTATGTTAGGACTCCCACTGAGGGGCAGGGATAGGGAAAAGGGGAAAACATTACTATAACACTCCACAGCTGTTCCTGTTCCTGCTCTCTTCAAATTCATTAAACTCCTTGCAGGGCTTGAATTTATAGGAAACCTAGAACTACTTTGATATTTTGTCATCTTTCCTCTATCTGTGACTACACCTAGTACTGCTAGTAATGTTTGCAGTTCCTGTGCTGTATTCCAACTGCAGACACCAGAGCTGTACAGGGGCTAATAAGCACTCCCCTTACAGCTACCATGCCTGGAGGATCCTATTGTTTCTAAGGCTGACACATGACGTTCAGTTCAGTACATGTACACCAGTGATCAATCTCCCTAATTTACATCACATGGAGTGAGAGGAAAGATGGTCTTGCTCACCTCTGCCTCCCAGTGCCCAGTGTGCCACCTCACCATCATCCCCACTTTCTGCAGTAATAGATCCGAGCTGCTATTATAAACACGTTGTCTCTTCCCCATCATTTACCTTTCAAGATCAGCTAAATGGGGACAGATGAGCTGTTCCATATGTTAAGCTTTCTGCTCAACTGGCAGACAAAAATCATGCTTTCTCCTAACAGTAAGGACATCATATTTAAGTTAGTCTAGAAAAAATATAGCACACTGTTTCAGAGCAAATCATAACCTGTACTTACTTCATTTTGTCATATTCCTGGGAGGTAGTGGTTACTCTCTCGTCTCCCACATAGATTTCACAAAAAGGTCTGCAGCTATTACGCTGCTTACTGAAAAGAGGAACTGGAGTCATGACAATTGATCTGACAAGTACAGGCTTGCTGTGAGGAATAATGGGTTCTTCAGCCATCATGTCACAAATGTATTCGATGTATCTGCCAAAACCAAAAGGTACTAATTTAGTCGGAGAATCGTGTTCTGAAGACATGTGAACACATAGTGGAGTTACTTCTGTAACTTCTGTTACTTCCAGCCACTGAGCAGTGACAAATAATGATAAAACACCAGGAACAGCACTTCCAGCAAATGGATTTTCAAATCTGATAGAATTTGACAAAAGAAAAATTAAATAGAAACATGGAGAAGTATTTATGATCCCTAGACAGCCTCAGTTTAAGGAAAGCAACACAGTTTCTGTACAAAAGCCTGATGGCTGCATCACAACAGAAAAACATACTGACCAGAAAATTAAATACAGCACTCATCTGCACCTGTGTCTCACCTTCCAGACAACTCCAGACATCACCTTAGGCCTGTAGCTTTACATATATTCCATTGTAAAACAAACTAG